CCCAGCCCTCCCCCCCAGCCCGGTACCTGAGCAGCGGAACTTCTTGCTCTTGACCTGGCTGATGCGCTTGTTGGCCAGACGGCGGGGGCTGGCGCAGCGCGCACCGCTGGTCTCCACGGGGTTGTCCTGCAGGTATTCCGCCAGCCACCGCACGTGGCAGTCACACACGAATGGGTTCTGCGCTAAGTGGCTACAAGGCAGGCGGGGGGGAAGGGGGGGACACAGACATGGCTGTGAATCAGGAGGGGCCTGGGCCCTGACACCAGCCCGGTCCCCACCCACGTGTCCTGGGAGACCTACGGGTTTTCTCTCTCCAGCCTCACTCAGCTCCCAGACTCCTCAGCCGCCGGCCGATGGCGGGGCCTCCATAAACAGGGGCCGGTACCCTCACACACGCACCCTGGCCTAGCTTCCTCCGCTCCCCAAGGAGCACTCAGCACAGTGCTGAGCGCCGAGCCCGGCCCGTGCGGGCCTGGGGTGGGGCTGAGCCATGGTGACCATGTGAGGTGGATACAGATGTGGTCTCCCTTGTGCGTAGCTGTGGGGTGGGATGAGAGGGAGGTGCTCCCTGTCAGGGGTGTGGGGAGGCGGGATGCAGGGTCCGGGGGTCCAGATGGGGGCGTCAGTGGAGATGGAGCCTGCCTAGAGCACTGAGGCCTGTGTGCGAGGTGAGAGCCCGGGATCTCCTCTGCCTCGATTCAAGTCCTGGCGCTCCTTTGTCTTTCCTTCTGAGTCTTGGGTGGTTTGGGCTCAGGGGCTCTACCACTTGATCCACACCCCCCGTCTTTTTTGGCTTTAGTTATTCTTTGGATATAGGGTTGCATCTTTTTGCCTGAGATCAGCCTGACTCCCGGATCTGCCTATCTACATCTCCTGCAGCTGGGGTGACAGATGCACACCGCCAACCTCAGCTGGTTAGTTGGGATGAGCTCTTGCTATGTTTGTCTCTGGCTGGCACTACAGGCATGTATCCATCCCCAGATCCCGGCTTCTGCCTAGCTGTGCAACCTTGAGTAAGATGTTTAGCTTATCTGGGTCTTAGATTCTCCCACATAAAGAACCCTCCTTTCACCTCCCGCCCCGGGGCTGGACGGATGGAGTTAGACAGGGCCAGCCCTCAGCCCTGCCTCAGTGCTCTGCACGGGGGAGCAGTTCTGTGTCCGCGCCCCAGCCCGACCCTTGCTGTGAGCCGTCACCCCCGGACCGCGTGTGCGGGGCGGGCTTGTGGGCCCGTGGCTGCCGGGCGGGCCCGGTACTCACAGTGTCTGGATGGACTGCAGCGGCGCAAACAGCCCCTTGCTGATGGTCTGCAGCTTGTTGTCGTACAGCGAGAGCAGGTGGAGACTCTGCAGATCTTGGAAGGTGTTCACCCGCAGGCAGTTGATCTTGTTGGCGTTGAGGAGGCTGCGGGGAGGAGGGAGGCCGTGAGGCCACGCGTGGACACGGCCCGTGGCGTGTGGGCCGGGCGCCCGCTGGGTTCACGGTGGGGCGGGGAGGGGGGATCCCTGTGCCCCACGTGGCCAGCATCTGACCCTGCCTCCAGCGTGGGGCCTTGGAGAAGACCAGGGCAACACCTGTGCGCAGAGAAAGAAACACCCTGGGCCCAGCGGTTTTGCTCTAGCTGACAGACTAGCGGGAGAATTCTGCAGAGTGCTTGGGGGCCCGGGGGGTGGGGGTGTCACGGGCCTTAGTGGAAATTGATGACCTCAGTAATCGCCCTCCCTTCCCCTTTCATTTTCCTTCCCCTCCCTCTTCCTACAGGCCTGTGCGTGCACTGCACGAAACCCACCTCCAACACACACACACACACACACACACACGTACATGCACATACACATGTATGCCCGCAGGACGGAGGGGGCCGGGGTCACCTGACCTCTGCCCTTTCCCCTTCCTCGTTCTCACCTCGTAGCTCCCCCCCCCATACCCCAGATGCGCAGGCGTACTGGCTCAGGTTCCCGGAACCCCTGCAGTCTCAGCAGGGCCAGCGAGGGCCCCACAGAGGCTGCCCGGCCACCTGCCCTCGGAGCCTGGGGTCCCCCCCCCCCGGGTCCTGAGCCTCTCAGCTCCCGTGACCCGAGGTCAGGGCTTGTTTTCCCGTTTGCCGTTGGCTCCTGCTCAAGGCTGCCCGCGGCGGGTGACACGAGTCTTTGGTAGGACACACACCCGGAATAAAAAAGGAATCAAATTAGGAAATGGGCGAGCGGACCCAACAAGGGTTCTCACAAGAAGACGCCACATGGCCGGCGGGTGGACAACGCAGGGAGAAACGGCTCGCTAAGCCACAGCAGGAGCCGGGCTCAGCCCGGCAGGAACACGCACCGGCGGGGATGGGGGGTAACCATGGCGGGAGCCAGCCCCCAGGGCCCCCAGGCAGCTGCGACAGACCTGCCCCAGGCCCTCCCGGTGCCTCGGGCCCTGACAGGGCGCCCTATGTGCCCTTTGTGCAGCTACTCGTGAAGTGGCCGCCCAGCTTCGCCCACAACTTGGGGGTCTTTCTCTGCCCCCCCCCCGCCTCAGCCTCTCCACCTGCGTGGTCCGCTCTGCTGTGTGTTCAGTGCTGACTCCTCTGTTCCCCCGCTGGGGAAAGGGGGGAGCAAGCACAGAAATCACTTTTGGGTGGAAACTTTCCAGAACATTTCACCAGGGCCATGGGAGACCTTTCCAGGACAGAGCCTGTAAGACAAGAATGCTCCTTGACGATCCCAGACCGACAGCCACGGAACCAGCCCGGCAGGGAGGAACGAAGGAGCAAAACAAGTCCGATTTTCAACGTTTTCCTTTCCAGGCCGACTCGCAGCTTTCCAGCTGGGGAAATCCGACCCCCCTCCCCCCACCGTGAGACCTCCCTCGGCGGCCGCTTCCCCGGGAGAGGGGGGTGGGGGG